TCTATGGAAATTATAAATTCCCCTATCAGCATGAGGAGATCAAATTGACAAGGTAGCAGATTTAACTTAAAGCTCAATGGAACCACTGATGTGTCTCCCAGTGGAATTATTTCTCCATTTGCAACTAAAACATTTAGGCCAGCAGAGTGTAAGGTTGTGAGCACAGGAAGCAAAAATGTTGCTAGTGGATCACTAGGGGTAATAGTGAGTAGTGCCACCTCTATTTCCACCCCTTGGTTTTTGAACCCATCATTCCTGATTATGAAAGAAATAGAACTATATATTGGACACTGATTCAGAGAAAATACAACCTCTTAGAGAATCTTGCTCTAGCCCTGCAAGATATTGCCACCCACATGGAGCTGTAACAGTCTTCAGAAGGCCATTCTACTCTTCTGTGAAACCAGCTACTTCTGGACGGTGGGGAACATGCTAAGATCAGTGAACTCCATGAGTGTCGGCCTCCTGCCATCCTTTATTTTCTGTGAAGTGAGTTCTCTGATCAGAAGCAATGCTGTGTGGAATACCATGATGATGGATAAGGTGTTCTGTAAACTTACAGATTGTAGTTTTGACAGAAGCATTGCATGGAGGGAAGAAAAGTGCATATCCAAAGTTAACTTCCATTCCAGGAAGAACAAAACACTGCCCTTTTCGTGAAGTAAGCTGTCCCATGTAATCAACCTCTCTCACGGCTACTGGCAGATCACCCTTGCTAATGGTGCCATATTGCAGGGGTTGGTGTTGATTTCTTTTGCTGGCAGATTGGGTACTCAGCAGGGACTAGAGCCAGGTCATGCTTGGTGAGCAAAAGTCCATGTTGCTGTGACCATGAATAAGGATCCAGCCTGCTTCTACCACTTGCATGTGACTCTGGACAAGTCTCTAAAACTTGCTTAGCTTCAGTTTTGTCTTCTCTAAAAATGGAAATAATGCTAGCCTTGTCTGCTCATATGTTTATTTTTCAAATAAAAGTTATGTATATAATATTGCTTAATAAATTTTATTGAACAATGTCAGTTCTAAATAATGAAATACAGATGGCTAATATGTATGTAAAATATTCTTGATAACACATGAATTATAAGCAAAACATTAATGATACATCACTTATTGACTATCAGTTAAATATATTAACAGTGATACTACCCAACATTGGATATATTGCTGGAGTAGTTTAAAATAGTGTAAAGCTATAAATAGCATTTTGTAAAACCTCAAAAAGTGCACACGTGTATCTTTTATTTCAGCAGTTCTGCTTGTAGGAACATATCTTTTGGATATAATTAGGTATACAAAATATTGGTATAAGAATGTTCCTGAAAGTTTGGTTTGCAGTTGTAAAGTAATGTAACTTACCTAAAAATTTAAGCACAAACTAATGAGTTACCTAAATGAGTCTTTCCTTCCCTCTCTCTCTCTCTCTCTCCATTGCCTCTTCTTACATTGATTAACATGTGCCAGTGTGCCAGTCTAATCTAAAGCCAAGATCATCATAACTTTCCCAACAGTCCAACACCGTGGATTTCCTGAGACCATATTCTAAGATTAATAGCCTGTGTTGCCCTTCTGATATTTTGTTTCTCTATAGATTAATAGAAGGAAGTCAGTGGGAAAGTAGAGTAGGCCCTTTGAGATGGTATCATAACCAAAGAATATTGATTCTTTATGCTGGTCCATTCTCTACATGCATAGATATTGAATTATATGCCAGTCTACATTATAATTTGTTTTGTAATATAGTAGCTAGACCACATCCTTCTACAAATTCCTTTTAATGTTCTAATTTTTTAATTCTTGCTGACTGCCATTCCTGTCTTGACATTTATCACTAAGAATTTCTTTTGAGTGGTTCTCAATAAATTGTTGAGGAAGCTTTTGAAAAAGCACTGACATTTCCACAAGCCTCACAACTATTATCTTGTATATTTATTGTGTGGATCTTAAGTTTTCTTCCTATTTGGCACTTTCAAAAGAATTTACTTGGTTTCTATTATTTATTTTTCAAAATTACTCTACTAGACATAAAATATGATGTAGGACTTTATTTTTGCTGCAGAAATATACAAGAAAGGATATAAAGACTGATAAATTCTAGCCTAAAACTAACCAAAGTATTTGGACAGGCCTATAGGCTCTATAGATGGATAGTCCCTAAATATTAGGCAAGCTTCTTTACTTTGATATCAAGAAGTCTGTCACTGAGATAAGGGCATTATATGTTCAGAGAGGGAGACTGAGATCAATAGAACACTTGAATGTAGCTTGGTACTTTTTGACAACCTCTATGAGACTAAAACAACATTTACATTCTAAATCAGCATTTAGGGGCTGATTCCAGCCTTATCAATCACTCAATTATATCACAGATAAGACAACAGTACTGGCATTTGATAACTGACAGACTTATTTGATATTTAACTACTATGTAAATAGAAATGGATTAATTCAAATTTAAACAATCAAACTGTAAATAGTGTATGGGACAATGCTCCAACCAACTGAACCACCTGGCCAGGGCAATATTAAAAAGTATTTTTTTGAACATTAAATCTTTCTTTTGTATTGCAATTTTATTGTTTGCTCTATTTTGTTTGGCACTTTAATTTATTTAAATATTTATTTTAGAAAACTTAGCTTCTATTTACTTTCAGAGTCCCTGTTAGCATCCTCCACGTAACATCCAAATGCTCAGGTGACTGAATGTCTCTTTCTTAGAATCACAGATAGTGTTTCTTAGTAAAGAAAATGCAGTAAAGAAAAATAGATCACCAAGCCTACTTTTTCTCCCCACTGCAACTGCTTTAGAAGAGATTTGTATGTTTTTTACCTGGATCATTGTAGTATCCTACTTATCAGTCTCCTTATCTTTAATTTTGTTCCAGGGCAGAATTTTATACAAATTGATGCTCAAAAGAATCATGATAAAATGAAAATCCTATTGTGGCATTGCACTGTTTAAAGTCCTTCAATGTTTCCTCCGGTCACATTTCATATGATAGGAGCCCCATGAGTCCTGTGGACCCTGAAATTTATCAGTTCTCATCATTTCCATGCTTATACTCTGCTCTGCCACACTTCTTTATTTGAAGGGTTTTTTGTTTTTTTAGATTATCTATGTTCCTACTACTATCTTTATACAAAATTGTTTATTTTTGCTGAAATATTCTCCCACCCCCAACATCCAACCTTGATTCCTCATGATGTTTTCTATCCTTCATGACCCATATCAGGTGTCCTTTTTCCAGGTCGCCTTCCCTGGGACTTTTGGGGCCCCCCATCTTTCTTTTTATGGCACAATAAGAGTATCTCAACCAATAGTTGCTGTTATCTCTTCCTGTGTGTGTTCTCTCCTTATTTCTTCAGATTGCATATCCACTTATACACACCCACAAATACAGTCACAGACATATAGACATAATACAGATAAAGGTAAAAACAGTTTTTAATCTTTTTTTTTTTTTTTAAATCCAAGCCATTTAACAGAGTGACTATTGCTAAAACTGAATAATTGTCTCTTGAATAAGTCTTTCTATGACTGTAAGAATTTAGGAAATAGTGACCACCAAAACTTACAAGTAAAATGTTCTTTCCCTCTTATACTCTAATTCTTGATCTTTTTTATAATTAATAAATAATTTAATGCAGATTTTAAAATCATAGTGACTTTTAATTGTTGAATCAAAATAATGATATCAAAGTTTTACTTTCTATGAAATATTTATACAATTTAGATATTTATGACATGGTCTATCTTTTATCTAAATTCAACTCTGAATAAACCCCTTCTTCACAGATGTCAATGCAAATATGCAATCTCAAAATATCTTTGTATTTTTTAAATGATTTTTAAATAATTTTTGAAATAATTATACATATTTTATATAAATCCCATCAGTTAAACTATTAAAATTTATTTGAAGCTTAAGGTATGATACTATACAGGTAAAATTAAGCAGATACAATTCAGGACTACCAGGAGTCTAATATTATTTCATTAGTACTATATTTTTTTGAGGGGGGAAAATTACTAATTTGATGGGTCTAAAGTGATTCAAATATAAAGTAAATACTTAATAAGCACTCATTTTCTATACCAAGCATTGTTCTAACCCTTGGCACACATCAGTGCATATGTATAAGGTATTTATTAAAACTGTTCAATAGCTTCATAAAAATGTGATTAATATATGTTTTATTGTCTTAGAGACTTACTCCAAGACTCCAACATATCACAACTGCATAATGACATGAGCTTTCACGAAAAACTATAGTATTTTAATCATTTTTAATGACTCTGCACTGTGCGAAAGACTGCAGTGAAATATTTAGGGCATGGGATCGCATTGATGTCTCTTAAATAATGCCACATGCATGGCTATTTATCAGTTCTGTTCAAATTGACATGTTCTTTTTCTAGGCTCCAACCGCCAAAATGAGCCCTTTAATACAGATGAAAAATACACCTAATATAAAAAGAATTTTCAGAAAACATTATTCATTTTCTCATATCTTGAATTATTTGGGAAATAAGCTTAATATTTGAGGGGAGGAATTGTTTTGTTTTAAATCACATTAGAGGCTATTTATCTTATAGATTAACATAAGACATTTACTCTTCTTAGAAAATATAAAAACTACCAGATGCCTATATTATATATAACTGAAATGTACAAGCTAAATTTGTTTGAAAATTGGGGGTTTATAAGACTCCAACACTTAATCTGAATTAGGCAGAGAATCTTGGCAGGAAACAATCAAGATATAGAAATGAAAGTTTTCAATTCCAGTTTACCTAAGGCTTAGGTATATCTTTTAACATAATGTAGTAATATGTTTTGGTATTTCACAAGCCCAAAAGGGTGAGAAAATATTTTTGTTTGAAATGGGTTGTGTCCTTAGAGGAGGTTAAGCAAAAAGATTTCAACAATAAAAACAACAGTATCTTTAACATTGCCTTAGACCCAAATACTATTAACCATTGCCATATTTTTTAATAGAGGCTTAAAGAACTGAAACAAAGGGAATTTGCTCGAAATGTAGCATCTAAATCCAGGAAAGATGAAAGAAAACAGGAAAAGGCACTCCAACGCCTGCACAAGCTGGCCGAATTAAGAAAAGAAACTGTATGGTGAGTGTGCAATGAAATGTTAAGTTTTCTTAAAATATGATGACAAAAAAAGAAATGTAGAAATAAAGGACACAAATTTCTTTCTGTACCCAGAATAAAACTCACATTTTCATGGTTCTCTGTGGGCTTTAAACAGTAAATTGAATTTGAATTTTGTGCAAATGTGTGTTTTAATACACATTTTAATAAAATGTCCACATTACTATAATTTTAGGTTGTAAAAAAATAAATTTCACATTATTCTTCTGTTTAAGCTATCTTAGTTAAAATCTATTCCATTTCTTGGTGAAGTTGAAAATATTTGATTGAAGAAGAAACCAAACACATCTTATGACTTTTGTTATAAATGGTGATTTTAAGAGGAACTATTTTTTAATTATAAATTTGAAGGCCTTTTTTTGAAATTATCTTCAAGAATATTTTTAAAGGGTCAGAAAGACCCTATACATTTCAGAGGCAGGTCAAAATTGGTTTCGCTGTGAATGAACTATAACTGGACTGTTAAACTTTGACCTGCTTCTAACAGACAGCAACTGTAGTGTTCCAATTTAGAATCCACAGCTCATGCCACGGCAATGGTATGAAAAGAAAACCCCATTTGGAGTGTCCTTCCCTTCTCCTTCCAATAAGGAAAACTCTCTTACTATTGCCTAAAACCAAGCCATTTTATATCAAATTTATTTTTTACAGAATAGTGTTAGGGAATATTGATATATCAAAATATTGCTTGGGATATCAAATTTGGAAAGAAAAATAAAATAAAATTTAAGTGCCTTTGGAATCAAATATGGAACTGTTAAAATGAAATATAACCATTGTTCAATTATACCAACCAGATATTTTTACTCTGTGTGGTAATAAATGAAAAATTATACAAGTTTATGTTATAAAGCAGTGCTTTTCATCCGGTGTGCTGCTAGAATTTTTAAAATATGCAGTACCTGACTAATTAGTCAAGGTACTGACCTCTTTTCCCTTAGATTGTCAAAAAAAAAAAAAAAAAAAAAAAAAAACCAANTACCTGACTAATTAGTCAAGGTACTGACCTCTTTTCCCTTAGATTGTCAAAAAAAAAAAAAAAAAAATGACAACAGCCAACACAACAGCCATCTGGTGTAAAAGCTCGAATATATAGGTCACATAATAGAGTTGCATCTTACTGGTCATCTTGTATAATAAGGTTGTGTCTGATTGGTTAATTCTTGGTACAAGAAATCCTTGTATACAAGTATAGGCACTGATTTTTTTTCAAGTCACTTTGGAGAAAAAATGGTGAGTAATTACTTTTTTATTTTTTGTAAATCAATCAAAAGTATACTTATTTTTTTGTCAGATTGGCAAAAGATATAACATGTTTTTTGTGTGCCACAGACTTTTTGTAATTAGTTTATGTGTGCCATGAGATGAAAAAGGTTGAAAATTGCTGTTACAGAGAATCATAAGACCTATGTAATTTAATGTCCTATAAGCAGCATTTGCAAATGTAATTTTACTATAGTAAGAGAACTAGAGTTAATAATAGGATATGTACAAAAAAGCAATACTTCTTATGTAAAGTACTTTCCTCAGTATACAGTTCATATTTCACATTATACACACACACTCACACACGAACATACACACTCACACATGATTTTGGTGCTTTTAAAGATGTGCAGCTAGGAAGTAGTGTTGTTTTTTAATATCAAATAAGGCAATGAAATAGTCTATTGTGTTAGAGATTAAAGGAAATATTCGAATAAAAAGTGTTGTCCAAGTACAATTTCTAAGAAACTGTTTAAATAGCATGGAAAATTCTGCATAGCATGATTCTGTTTGGGTAAAAATGATATTTAGGTAGTTTCTTGTTTATGTGCAAGACAGTATAGTTTTAATCATAACACACTATTTTTGGTATACTGACATTCCATATAAATAGAAATCACATTTTAAGTAAATAGTCTTTTCTCTTAAGTGTATCTTTTATTTACTGTACTTTATTATATCATTTATAACCTCAAGGTACATTTTAAATATTAAGAATAGCAATTTTAAAAAACTCAAATCTCTCATCAAGCTAGTATTATCTCTGAGTAATTTTTGCATTATAGCATGCCCCCTGGACTGTGTTAGACTTTCAGTAAATGTTTGTGAATTCCGAGCCCTTCTGAAGTCATGATAGAGGGTTTTTCTTTAATTTCTTTAATATTCTCCATATAGTATCATTGATGTTGAGTATTTGTGGATTAAAAATAATTGTATTTTAGAAAATTCTACAATACTTCAAAATGTCACTGAAGAGATTATAGGGGTACAAAATCTTGGTTGAGAGCATGGGAATATCCTTGCCATTGCTGTTAATAGCTATAAAAGTAACTTCATGACTGTACCTCCAAGTTATCCCAAGCAATAACCAATACCTAAATGAAATTGTGGCACTATGGAAGGCAACTGTACCATATGAAAGTAATTCTTTCCCAAAGATTTAAAAAATTGGGGAAAAAAAGTTATAATGACATTTCCAAGATGAATGTGTTTGAATATTTTTCCTCAAAAGTGTCCTATCTAATATACATTTTTGCTACTTTTTGTAGTGCTCCTGGAAGTGGCCCCATGTTCAAGTCAACAACTGTTACTGTGAGAGAAAATTGTAGTGAAATTTCCCAAAGAGTTGTTGTGGATTCAGTGAATAACCAGGAAGAGTCCAAACATACTTTGATTCGTAGTGCAGAGAGTGCTAAAGATGTTACCACTGTTGCTGCAGATCCAGAAAGCGCAAATAATTATACAAAAAGTCATCAACTTGGAGATCGAGCACAAGGAATCCACAGACACAAAGTTGGCTTTTCTTTTGCGTTTCCGAAGAAAGCATCGGTGAAGCTGGAGTCCTCCGCCTCAGCCTTCTCTGAGTTCAGTGATGACGCCTCTGTGGAAAAAGGACTTGGCAGAAGAAGGAGATTTGTCCCTGGTACTTGTCATCTCCAACTGTCTTCACCAACGGATGACCTTTTGAGTCCCGAGGAGAAAGTTACCTCTTTTCATCCACCGGAGGGAATGTGCACTTACAAAGAAACAGCTCAAACTCAAGAAATGAAAGAAGTTTCTTGTGAAAAAGGTACATTTTCATTACCTTCATTTTGCCAGTTTCAACTCCCTTTATCTTCTGATGCAGATAATTGTCAAAGTTCAGTCCCATTAGCAGATCAAATACCACTGGAAAATGCTGCTATTAATGAAGACATTTCTGTGAGTGATAACAGCCCTGAGTTGTTAGGAAATAAATGCACAGTTCTCAATAGGGCTAATGACTGCATATCTTTGCAAGCTACCCCAGAGGAAAATGCTAAGGACAATGATGCAGCCACAGTTGAAGTTGAAAACAAAAATCCTGAGATGTTGGCCCCTTCAAATTCTGAAGAGGATAATATAACCTTACATAAAAAAAAAGATTTCTATAAAAGACCCTGTGAGCCATTCGTACCTGTACTTAACAAAGACGGATCCACAGTTCTTCAGTGGCCATCAGAAATGCTGATTTACACGGCTGCTCAACCATCAATTTCCTATAGCTGTAATCCTCTCTGTTTTGATTTTAAGTCCAGTAAATTAAACAACAATCTAGATAAAAAGAAGCTGCCCTTAAATGACCTTTATTCGCAGCAGAAGGAAGAAGGCATTTGCAAGAGGCCAGTTTTGGATTGCAAGGACAGATCTATTGCAGGACTCACAGAACATGACACTGAAGGTAGCAGGAATGAACCCACTCAAGTCACTCCTCTTTTGGCTGAAGATATTTGCTCCGATAGTTGTGACTCTGGAAAACATGAGAATACAGGTCAGAGGCATAAAAACGTTTCCCCTAGAAGCAGAAAAACAAAAAGATATAATTTTATTAAAAAGCAAATAAAACAGAATACTCATGAGAAATATGGCAAAACAAGGTGGAAAGATACGCATGAGCACTGGTTCCATAAAAGCAGAAGAAAGAAAAAGAGAAGGACGTTATGTCACCATCATCACCGGGAGAAAACCAAAGAGTCAAAAACGCACTTCAAAATGGAAACAGAAAATAGTTGCACTGATACGACTAGGGAAAACCTACTGGAAACAGCTTCAGAAAAGCAGGATGTAGCTGTAGAGCAATTATTGGACTCACATCAGTTACCTGATAAAAAGCCCAAGACAGCATGTATGTTCTTAGGTGAAAGTGAAGACATGTGTAAAACCTGGAGCACCGAGTGCAGTGATAATGACAATATCAGTTCTGAAAATCCCTGCGCAAAGAACTCGATGGTTTCAGATGGACGGTCCGGTCCTACGACGCTGCAGCCCGGGAAACATGATTTAGCACACCCCAGAACTTGCTGTCGTTGTCGAGCCAAAACGTCCAGCTGCAGCGAGGACCACAGATGCCTCGTTCTTCAGAAGGACCTGCAATGCAGGCCTCCCAGCCAGGCTGTCAAGAGAGGTTATCATTCCCTCGTTAATGAATCGGAGAGGTTTTACCGAAAACGCAGGCCGCATTCTCATTCTTATTTTTCCGAGGAAAGTGTTAATCCACAGAATGATCCACCCGAGGAAGGCTGGGGGCCACCACGCGCCTCCGCTCCCTTGAGGCCTAGAAGGAGACGAAGGAGGAAAAGAAGCAGGTTGCACGCCAGGCCTGAAGCTCTGGAGCTCAGGGAAAACGCAGGCTCTCCCCCGACAGGCAGCTCTTCCTCGGGTCACCAGGCCGAGTCCGCGAGCGAAGGCCAGAGACAGGAAACAGGGCCCCAAGAGGCTGCAGCTGTGGAAGGGAACGCAGGGCACGCGGGCCA